TCTCATGTAGTCCAGGCTGGCCTCAAACTTACACCACAGCGGAAGCTGACCTTGAACTATATATCGTCTGGCTTACATCTTCCAGGTGCTCGGATTACAGGTGTGCGCCCGCCCGTAACTTCTACTCTTTCTTCAGAGACCTGTGTCTCATGAGGGGTGACCACCTGAGCGGGGACAGGGCTGTTTTCCAGGACCCTGGACTCCTCTCCAGTGGCTGTGCTACCGAGAAACATGTCTCCCTCTCCACAAACCAGCATTAACCGCCCAGCTCCTCACAGGGGAGGGGAGAGTGGGGGGACCCCTGTGTGAGTCCCCTCCACGCTGTGACCTTACGTTGGGGTGTCCAGTCTTAGTCACAGCTGCTGAGAGTTCAGAGTGCAAAGGTCGTGTCAGGGCTGGAGGACGGCACTCCACAACACTGAACCTCTTTCTGCTCTCACACATTCCGTCCACGCTCCTCTCCTGAGATGTCTCTTGAGCCTTGGAAAGCAGTGGCGGAGACACCCCGCTTAGGGGTGAGCACTCGGCAGCCACCATTCTCTGCATTCCCAGGTGCCCTCTGTAACAAGGGGCTACAGTAGGGACTGGAGAGATGGCTCAGTGGTCAAGAGCACTGGCTGTTCTTCCAGAGGTTCTGAGTTCAATTCCCAGCAACCACCTGGTGGCTCACAACCATCTATAGTGAGATCTGGTGCCCTCTTCTGGCCTGCAGGCATACATGCAGGCAGAGCACTGTATACATAATAAATAAATAACTCTTTTTTTTTTTTTTTTTTTTTTTTTTTTTGATTTTTCGAGACAGGGTTTCTCTGTGTAGCTTTGCGCCTTTCCTGGGACTCACTTGGTAGCCCAGGCTGGCCTCGAACTCACAGAGATCCGCCTGGCTCTGCCTCCCGAGTGCTGGGATTAAAGGCGTGCGCCACCACCGCCCGGCATAAATAACTCTTTAAAAGAAGAAAAAAGAGACTACAATAGTACTGATCTGTGGGCAGCAGAAATAGCTGGAAGGCAGAGTGATAGGCACATGTCAACTTTCTATTTCCGGTTTTCTTTTTGGATGTGTGATGTGCACATATATAAGCATAGTTTTGGCATGTGTAGACCTGTGTGGGTACCTGTGTGCACATATGTGTGCGTGTGCACGCAGAGGCCCGAGATTGATGTCGAGAGTCATCTTCCCTCACTTTTCTACCTTATTCATTGAGGCAGTCTCTCCGTGAAATCTAGAACTCTGGTTAGCTAGCCAGCTCGCTCCAGGAGGGCCCTCCTCCTGCCTTCCTAGAGCTGGGATTACAAGCAGGTCGCCACACCCACCCTGCATTTCCGTGGGTTCAGGGAATCTGAACTTTGGTCACGTCACTTGTATATCGAGCACTTTATCTATTTTGCCATCTCCCAAGCCCCTGTTTCTCTTTGGGGACAAGGTCTCTGTAGCCTAGGCTGACTCCAAAGCTGCTGTGTAGTCCAGGCTGGCCTTGAACTGTGGCGGTCCTCCAGACTTCCAACAGCTGGGGTTACAGGTGTGAGCCTACATGACCAGCCCCTTCCGGCTTTTAACTGGTATGGCTTCTGTAACCCTATGAGGGTGGGGCAGTGTGTCTTCTGAGCTTACTCTGTTTGTCCCCTTTGCAGGCAATATTTCAGTGACGTGATTGCCAACGCCATGAGCGAGATGCAGGATTCGGGCTCTTTCAAGAGTCTCCTGGAAGCCTTGGGCACAGAGAGAGATAAAAAGATGAACTTCCACGAAGCCATCACAAGGTCAGGGTGGCGATGGCTTTATCTGCTTCGGTTCTCTTTTTAGAAGTCCTCTTGATATGATATGCTATTCAGGCAGTTCTTAGACCCTGGGACCTCCTCCTGCCTCCAAGTAGCTGGGACTACAGGCATGTGCCAGACAGCCTGGTCTGCTTTGCAGTGTCTCTTTTCTCACATGTATGTGTACATGGTGTGCATGTGTGTGTATACATGCTTGCTTGTGTGGGGACACATGTCTGTATATGGGTGCGTGCATGTGTGTGTGTGTGCGTGTGTGTGTATGCACGTGTGCATGTGCGTGTGCGTGCGTGTGTGTGCCTAAGGTTGATGCTGGGAATCTTTCTTGAGTGTTCCTCCACCTTATTCTTTCAGGCAGAATCTCTCGACTGAACCCAGAGCTCGCCTGTACAGCTAGTCTGGCTGCTCTGGGGTTCCCCTGTCTCTGCATTTGGAGTGCTGGCATTACTCCACAGTGGGTTGTAGCCGGATGCTACTGCACCTGGCTTTACGTGGGTCCTAGGTCTCCAAACTCAGGACCACACTTCATAGCCAGCGCTCTACCCACTGGGCCACCTCTCCAGGCCCTGCTCTGCAGTATTTTAAGGTTGTATAAAACTTCACAGAAGACCTTGATTTCTCAAGCATCAAACATGTACTTTCTAATTATTGCTGGAAGGCAGACCACTGGGTTCTGAGCTCCTGCATATTCCTAACCCAGGTGGAGCAATAATCCAGATTTGGGAGCCTCGGTTACTTGACTCACACTATATTAAGAGTGCTGTAGCTGGGTATATGGTACAGGCTTGTAATCTCAGATACTCCAGGAGTTGAAGCAGAGGCATTGCAAGTTAGAGGCCAGCATGGTAAGTCAGTGAGACTTAAAACTTAAGTAGGAGAGTGATGGCCTGGCACACAGATGGAGCCCCTGGGTCCAACCCCTTGTACTGTACTAACAGCAAAGCATTGCTCCTCTGCTCAAGATGGACAGATGGAAACTCCTGGTCAGTGTCCTAGATGTGGGGCAGCTATGGGGAGCACTTTCGTACATACACAGGTTCCGAGTTTGACCCACAGCACCGCAAAAAAAAAAAAAAATAACACAACAGCAAGCAAAAAGCCAGTGCATACCATGACACATTTCCCTTCCCAGAAATGTTCAGCATGTTCCAAAGATACTCAACCCAGAACCAGGGTGGCTTGGTGGTAGAGCGCACCTCCTTAGCATATTTGACAGGAAACAAAACAAGGCCAGGCCGTGGTGGTGCACACCTTCAGTCCCAGGCAGAGGCAGGCAGGCAGATCTCTGAATTCGGGGCCAGCCTGATCTACAAAGTGACTTCCAGGGTAGCCAGGGCTACACAGTGAAACCCTGTCTCAAAAAACAAAACAAAAACAAACAAACAAAAACAGAAGAAGAATATTTATTGGTTCCCAGAACCTACATGGTGGCTCACAGCTGCCTCTAACTCCAGTTCCAGGGGATCTGACGCCTCTCTGACCTCCACCTGCTCTTGCAGGCACACGGTGCACATGCATACACTCAGACATACATGCTACACATAAAATTAAATGAATAATAAAGTGAACCTACACGCGTCAGGTTCCTGTTGCACGTGAAAGGACCTCTCCCTGCATGTGGCAGCTGCCTGATGACAATAGCCCCTGTCAGGGGCCTCGCCTGCCTGGGCCCATCCCATCTGTGGCAGAGAACTGCACATGCTGTAGCCACTGTTAACTGAATTTATGAGAGGCCACTGTGTGGCACTGAACTCCTATACGAGGTTCCAGAAGGCCCAACCAGAATGGCGGCATGCCATGTAGCTAAACCAAACTTTAAAACAGGCCAGTTTTCTAAAAGCCAGGAAATTCACCAGCAGCCAATCAGAGACTCCAGTGAGTAGGACTGTCATAATTGAAAAGGCAGTTCTGTCTACGGGGACAGTTGTGAGCAGCCATGCATGCGGGTACTGGGAGTTGAACCCGGGTCCTCTGGAAGAGCAGCCAGTGCTCCTAACCACTGAGCCATCTCTCCAGCCTATGTATATATATTTTTAAATAAGAATTAAATCCAAGTTATGCTCAAATACACAGAGTTGAATCCAAATTATATACATACATATATAGAGTTAAATCACATACCTGTATAGATTTTTAAGGATAAGCCTTTTGTTATAAGTTAAATTTTGTTTAAACCATAACCGAGGAGCAACATACAAATTCTGAGATAAGAGTTTACAGCATAATCCTAAGATATATTTTTTGAGAGCAGAGTGCAAAGAAATCGTAAAGACAAAAGACTTTTTTTTTTTGAGGACTTTTTTTATTTTTTATTTTATAATTTAATTTAATTTTACATGTCAGCCACAGATCCCCTTGTTCTCTCCCTTCCGCCCCCCCCCCCCAAAGACTTTTAAGAATGGGTAAGTAGGGCTGGAGAGATGGCTCAGAGGTTAAGAGAACTGCTTGTTCTCCCAATGGTCCTGAGTTCAATTCCCAGTAACCACATGGTGGCACACAACCATCTGTAATGAGATCTGATCTTCTGGCTTGCAGGTGTATGTGCAGACAAAACACTGTATACATAATAAATAAATAGATCTTTAAAAAAAAAAGGGAGGGGGGCGAGAAGGGGAGAACAGGGGAATCTGTGGCTATTATGTTGAACTGAATGGTGTTGTAAAATAAAAAAAAAAGAGAGAAAAAAATGAAAAAAAAAAAAAAGAATGGGTAAGTAGCTGGGCAATGTTGGCGCACACCTTTAATCCCAGCACTCAGGAGGCAGAGGCAGGCAGATCTCTGAGTTCGAGGACAGCCTGGTCTACAGAGTGAGTTCCAGGACAGGCTCCAAAGCTACACAGAGAAACCCTGTCTCGAAAAAACAAAAGAGTGGGAAGTAGACCCTTAGAGGTGAGAGGCTTTTGGAAGTGTAGAGGAGAGCAAGTTTAGCTAGAAGAGGTTTGGGGATCATTTGTTTATGCCAGTAGTAGTTGTTAATGCTTTGTGAGAATTTGGGAATCAAGTTCACCAATTTTTGGCCGTTGATCTGTACTAAGGCCAAGATGTAATAAAATCTGAGTCTGTGGAGGAAGAGAGAGTCTCAAAGCAGAACACTGTGTAGGTGTGTTCCTACAAGTTCCAAGAGGGAGGTGGGAGCTGAGGCCGCAGGACTGCAGCCTGGAGCCAGAGATAGCCAGGGGAGGGCAGGAGAGAGGGAGAGCGGGAGAGAAGGGAGACGTGGGTGTCACAGACTGCAAGAGCCAGAGCCACATGGAGGACCCATGGGGCTAGAGGGAGGCAGCAGCTGGAGAACTGAACTCTAGAATTTGGAATCCAATTCAAACAAACGATCCGAACATGCCTTAGGTTAGATCTGCGGACACTGCAGGGGAGAACAGATGTGTGCTGAGCACACAGCAGCTGGCCTGTTCACCTGTTCTTTTGCACACACACCCCAAGTCTGACTCCCACTTTGACATGGGGACCAGATAGAAACACACAGGGCTTGGAGTGAAAAGAAAGAAATAGAGAGTGGGAATCTCTGATGGTCCCCCAATTGCTTGGTCAGTGGCATATTGAGGCCGGATTCGACTGGAAAGGAGAGGCCGGAGGGTCTCCAAAAGACACCCCAAGGGAGCAAGGAGGTGGATGACCCAGCTCCCATAGGCGAGGTAGAGAGAGGGGGCCAGAGCCAAAGTCCAAGGTGTCCCAAGGACCCAGGGAGGGCTGAAAGAAGGCACAGGTCCAACAGTGGATCGTCACCTTCACAGTTTGGGGGCCAGGGCTAGAAGCCCAAGGAGACCTGGGTGAGGGCAGAAACTGCTCAAAACGAAGCCTCACCCAAGGGAATAGTCAGGGGCGGGTCCATCTGCCAGAGACTCGGGGAAGCATTTATGCTGACTGAGAGGGATCACTCACCAGTTGCCGGTGATGGATGGAAGGCAGAGATTGGTGGACCGGAAAGTGGCTGTGTTGTGGGTGGAGCAGGTGGGGAGGGTCCCGGTGTGGCTCAGACTGCAGGTGGGTGGGTGCACCAGCCCCAGGAGAACCCTCTGAGTCTTTGGCACCAATGTTAGGATAATGGCAGGAGAAGGGACTCCAAGGTTATCTCAATCCTCTTCTGTTTTTCACAAAAATTTATTTTGTGTGTGCACACATGTAGTCAGAAGTTTCATGGGATCCTGCCTGACCCCATGGTGGGGACAAATCTCTCCTGCAGCCTCTTGGTCCCCAGTAAACACATAGAGGCTTATAATTTTTGCAAACTGTATGACCTATGGCAGGCTTCTTGCTAGCTAGCTCTTTCATCTTAAATTAACCCATTCCTATTCATCTATGTATCGCCATGTGTTCCATGGCTTTACCTGCATCCCATTCTTCACACAGATTTTATTAGGGGACACATTGTATCATTACAATCTACACCCTCTTTGAGCAAATCATTCTGGGGCCATTCTGTAAGGCCCACCAGAATTCCCAAAAGACATGAGTTGGAAGGTATCTGGTGTTTTATTACACCATAACCTCTGATTGTTAAAAGTCTGGCTGCATTTTCCTGGATAACACCTTTAATAAAAAAAGTCCTTTAATGAAAGACAAATGACTCTTGGCCAACGCTCACTTTAAAAGCATCTTGAACACTATGAATATGAATATATAAAATGTACCTCCCATTTGCAACTACCCTGGCCATCCACCTAACCCCAAAGCCAGTGGACGTGCATAATGGAACTAGTGAAGACAGTCCATTTCCTGACTTTGATTCCTTTTAGACAGGTAAGTAGACAAAGTCACGTGCACAATATAAGACAGCTTATAACACTTGCCACTTACCACAAAACTAACTTATAGATGTAAAAAACACTAGGTCAAGCCAGAAACTTTTAAGTTCTAAGTCCATAGGCACCTGCCTAAAGTTAGTCCTGTTTAACTGGATCTGAGCAGTTTTTGTTTCCACTAGCATACCAGACAGCTTAAAATAAAACAAACTACTGTAGCATGAATCT